CTTCCAAAAGAGGACGATATCCGCTTCGTCATGCCTAGAGCTGATCTGTGCTGGTCGCTGAGGAAATACATCAACTTCGCGCTGTGGATCACCGGATCAGCTTTCACTGTGGACGAAGCGGAGTCCAGCCCAGGGTCGTCACATGCGGTAGCCGCAAGCCCGCCAGCCGCTCCTTCGTCGAATCTGCCGGCCTCTGCTCACTCTAGGCCTCCGGCCTCCACTCACTCAATCCCGCTGTGTGTGACGCTGTGTGTTTCGTTGTGAAAGTGATTTTATGTTTACGCGGCGCGATGCAACGCAACACGTAAAAAGACAAGTCATTATAATCCGTAATTATGTCCCCACTGGATGCAACAAATGCCTCGTTTATAATGGGTTTTAATGTTTTTGTGTCTTCGCTCGGGCCGGGACACAGCATCACAATATGGTAAGGGGCGTAACATTTCCGTCACACGCTTGAGGTATTCAGCCAATCACAACGCACTGGATAGCTGGCCAATCAGCGCACACCTTGCTTTTCAGACCGATGAGCTTTGTAGAAATCGATGCGTTTCAGAAAGGCGGGGCATAGAGGAGAAACAATAATGTACAGTATATGGAAAATAATGTGTTTTTTGAACCGTAAACCGCATAAACACATTTCATTACACCAAATACACAAAATGATGTTCTTTTTAGCAACATTATATGACCCCTTTAACACGCCTCATACCACAGGAAAATCTGATAAGATAATCTTTAGAACCATCAAGATAATCGGGACATTACCTAGGATTGTCGGAAGGGGAGAAATCGGCCCAAAATCAGCCCGATTATCTTGTGGTGTGTACTCGGCATTAGGTGTTCTGTAGATTTTAGCTCCAACCCTAATCAGACATCTGAACCAGCTAATCAAGGTCTTACTAGGTATACTTGAAACTTCCAGGCAGGTGTGTTGAGGCAAGTTGGAGCTAAACTCTGCAAGACACCGGCCCTTCCAGGACCGAGTTTGGTGACCCCTGCTTTAAGAGATACAAAACTCACAAAGTAAGTAAAACTTAGTTCATTGTATGCTGTATTTATATATAAATATATATACTCGTGTCTCATCAGGTGTCATTAGATAAATCAAAATCAGATAATTCGCTACTCTTTGGCTAACTGGTATTACGCTAGTCCCATAAGGCAGTATCTGGTTTAAATGTAGCTGTTTTTGTAGCTTGCATGTTGATCGATCACTTAGTTTTTAATGTTAGTCCAGCAGTTAATCTTTAAAGTATTGCATTGGTAGTTTTCGGCATTCTCGCTGTAGGGGTTGCATAGACTGGTCGGGTTTTTCCAACTACAAGAGCGTCAAAGCCAAAGGTTTCTATTTACAACCTGTTTTGCAGTGTTGAGCAATGTAGCCAATCATAGACGTATCTGTTGATTTCTTGAACGCAATGGCCAATCAGAGGCGTTCACTCAAGAATCCTCACATTATAAAGTGTAGACACAATGTGCAATGCTTCACTTTTTACAGTGAATAGTATAGTTTTGATTATAAATTAATTATTTTTTTTCCCTTTTATGGTTGTTGTTGCACCATGTAAATGTGATAACTGGACAATATTTGAAATGAATATTTGAATTGAATTTGAATGAACTGTGTGTGTGTGATTTTTATATATATATATATATATATATTATATTATATTATTATTATTATTATTAATAATAATGGCCACAAATAGCATACAAATAGCATACTTTCATGCCTTGGCTAATCAAACAAATGATACTGTTGTTACTTCAGAAACCAAAACTAATATTAAAAGTAGCTGAGAGGCTAAAGCCCCTGATCTTTGAGTACCTTTATTGAATTGTAGGTTGATAATTATGTTATGTCCCTGGAAAAGCCTTTCCAAATATTAAATTACTGTGTGGTATTTTCCATCAAAGAGGCGGTGACAGGGCCATTCTGTTGACAGGATTAGATTTCTCATAGTGAAATCTCCCTCAAGCACATTTTAGATCTATTCTCATACACATTGATTTTTCCACATTCATGCCCGCATATTTTTCCCCAAATAGCCATAGGAGAAATTTCTTACAGCCACAGACAGGTTGTCCTTTCCTAGATGTTTTTAAAAGTCACATTGAAAACATCCATGTTAGTGTCATCACATCATATCACATATTTCAAAACCAGGCAGCATGAAATGGCAGCGAACAAAAACAGTTGTGTTTTAGGCACCAATATCTCTACTTCCACAAACACAGGATGTGCTGGATATTATGAGGATTTCGCCATGATTTCTCCAGCCTGCGTCCACAGATATGCCCCCTGCTTTAATTTCCCGGTGCTCAATAAAAGGCAAACTCTCCTCTCTTCAAACCACCTCTTCCTGTTCCTCAAAGCAGCTTATTAGTAACAGACATTGGTATGACCAAAGAACTGCAAAGAATATGGAAGCAGACTTTAAAATGTACGTATAAAATGAGATGGGGGATTGTTTTGGACTACATGTGCACACTCTCACGCTTTTCCAACAACTGAAAAAAGCCAGAGGTGGTTTGATGACATATGAAACATAAATTAGAGCTTGGTTGAAAAGAAACTGGAGGGTGTAAATTACCCGTCTACTGTTACGGTAGCAAAGTTAAGGCCCTTGATGGGGTAGACAGTAGTATCCTACAGCAAGGGTGGAGTGGAGTAGTCTGGTGTGTTTGCTTGCAATAGAAACATTATAAAGAAGATTTTTGTATTTAAATGTTTCTGTAACACGTTTCCTACTGTAAATATATCAAAACTTAATTTTTGATTAGTAATATGCATTGCTGAGGACTTCATTTGGACCACTTTAAAGGTGATTTTCTCAATATTTTGATTTTAATAGCTGTATCTTGGCCAAATATTGTCCTATCATAACAAACCATACATCAATGGAAAGCTCATTTATTCAGCTTTCAGATGGTGTATAAATCTCAATTTTGAAAAATGGACACTTAAGACTGGTTTTGTGGTCCAGGGTCACACACATATGATGTGTGTGTGTGTGTATATATATATATATATATATACATACATGACATTGAGAGACCGTGTTGCAAAAGATTTCAAATAAATTATGTTCTTTAACTTACTATTCATCAAATAATCCTGAAAAAAATGCATCACGGTTTCCACAAAAATATGAAGCAGCACAACTGTTTTCAACATTGATAATAATCATAAATGTTTCTTGAACCGCAAATCAGCATATCAGAATGATTTCTGAAGGATCATGTGACACTGAAGACTGGAGTAATGATGCTGAAAATTCAGCTTTGCATCACAGGAATAAATTGCATATATATTATTTTCAATCATATAAATGCAGCCCTGGTGAGCCTAAGAAACTTCTTTCAAAAACATTAGAAAAACCGACCACAAATTTTTATATACATGTATTAAACTGCACGCAAAAATAAGACTGACCTCCAAAAATGTGTGGAAATGTGACGCAACACAAGTTATTGGGCAGCAGCTCAGCAAAGTGGTGCTTACGAAAGTCATCTCTGGGGCCGCTTTGTTGCAGCACCAAACCACATTTATGCATGTCCGACAACGCTTCATACCTGCCATTATTCCATGAATAGTTTCTATAAATATTTATTGTTCTTGGCGTGATGGCATGACTCTCTGAGTTCAGCCTAGAGAGACCATATCACTAGGCAGCTGCCTGACTGGTACATGCACTGGCACTACCCTGATCCATCAAACCCCAAAACCATTACATGCATCTGTAAAGCATGATAGAGATGGAAGAGATACCATTGGTAATGTTACTGAATTTTCCAGAAGGTCTGTGCTAGTAGGTGTGGTTAACCTGGGGATTTCATAATGACCATGTACACAATCCTTCAAAAGCTTGGGGTCTCTTATGCTCTTTATTATTTTTTTTTATTTCAATATATTTTAAAATGTCATTTATTATTGTGATGCAAAGCTGAATTTTCAGCATCATTTCTTCAGTGTCACATGATCTTTCAGAAATCATTCTAATATGCTGATTTGCTGCTCAAGAAACATTTCTTCTTCTTCTTCTTCTTCTTCTTCTTCTTATTATTATTATTATTATTATTATCATCAATATTAGAAACAGTTTTGTGGAATCAATGATACATTTTTTTCAGGATTCTTTGATGAATAGAAAGAAGTAGAGATCTTTTGTAAAATTATAGTCGTTACTGTTACCTTAGATCAGTTCAATTGCTGAAAAAAAGTTATTTCTTTAAAAAAAAATTATTGATGGCAAACTTTGAATGTATAACTTAAAAGAATATTCCGGGTTCAGTCCAAGAAATGGCATACTGGTATATGGCATATTGTTGATTACCACAAAAATCATTTTGACTCGACCTTTGATTTCTTTTTCTTTTTTCTTTCTTTTTATGTGTTCCTTTCCTTCTCTTTTACTCCAAATTAACCAAATTAATGTTTGCTCAAATCAGTGTAATTAATATAAAACTTTCTAAAGACCAATTTAACTTTTGCTCAGATGTACTTAATATAAAATTTGTACAAGTATGTTCACATTTCCAGATATTAAACTTGACCTTTGATTTTTTTTTTTTTTTTTTTCTTTTTTTTTTTTTTTTTAAAGCAAAAGATGAGGTTATAGTGAAGCACATAGAGTGTGTGGGGGCCAATCTTTGGATGATTTAAAAGCATAAATGTAAAGTTTGTAATTTTTTACAACTTTTTTTTAATATAATGTAATAAAAGCTTATAATTTTAGAAAAATAATTTTAGAAATAATTACATTAAATAACTTTATAATTGTATTTTTATATTAAATTATTTGATAATTTTATTACAATAATTTTATATAATTTTATAAATCATCATTTTATGGATTATGCCATTACCTTGTAAAATTAAATTGGATATAACTATTCAGACAGCATAGAAAGCAGGTTAGTAAGCAATTTTTTTTCACCACTTAAATCATAACACACATTAAAATCTTGTGGATATACTGCTGAAACACTGAGTATTTTAACACCCAGATTGACATTCATTGCAAGTAACCCAGAATTTCCTCTTCTATTTTTTCCCCCAAATTTATGTTTGTAGTAATCAACATTATGCCGCAACCCAAGATATTTCTTTAACGTCAACAGCAGCAAGACTGCAAAACCAAAACTTTACAAAACGAAGACGCTTATCCTTGTGCGAAACCCATTAAACAAGTCCGAATACATTCACGGAGACCATTAAATCATACCCTGCCAAAAGACCAGATTTGGCCACCAAGTTGGCTAATGTTGTTCAGCGTGGTCTTTTTGATGAAGCTGGTTAACTATGGACCACCTGCTTCCATAAATCACCATTTGGAAAGAGCAATTCACCCAAAAAGCATGTCAGTCTTTGACACTGCATATATTTCAATTTAACATACATTCATATGAAATATAGTCCTCTTCAGTTTATAAGTCTTTACAAACCTATGTTTCTTTTAAAAGCATACTGGATAGCAAGTTGTACTATAGAAAAGCTTGGAGTTATGGTATCGTACATAAATAATTCAGTCACTCAGTCTGACTAATGGAGGAGGGAATGCTGGGGGATTTGTTTATTTGCGGTATGTGCGTCTGGAGAGGAAAAGTGCTAGAGTCATTGTGCACAGAATCCATGGTCCAAGCACCCCAAGCGGGTAAACAATTTATTTTTGTCAGTTTCGCGCCAGATGCATGGCTGCAGCTCAGCACCAATCATCTGTCTGCATCAATAGCTAGTTAACTAACGACTTTGATTTCCAAAGCGCTCCTTTTGAACAGCTTGCTAACACTTATATTTCCACTCCGTCTTGTTCGGAGTCGGTTCGCATCTCTAGTAAAGCAGGCCTCGCTTTAATACTCGCTGTACGTTATCGGTGAGTGATTCTTGAATTCAAGCAGCATCACAGGAACGAATGGCCACGAGTATGGAAAACTCTTGGAAAGTACATGTACACCTGGACTGCATCTCAGCACGTAGTGTTCAATGTCTCCATCTTTCAAGATGAAACCCTAAAGCAGCATTAACGATGAAAAGGCGTTGACCTTTCTCCATATTCATATGCCCCTGATCCCAATGGCACTCCTCTGGTGCACGTCACATTAAAAATTCACTCTATTCGATTGCAATAAGTTAAAATAGATATATGTATAAAAATAAGAGAGCAACCACAATTAGAAACAGGACAAGGAGAGAGAAAAATACTCTCAATTGGGACCTCGGGTATATTCGCCCCTATATTTTAAAGTCTCATGTATGACATGTTCCTCTACCGTCGCATGAAATGCTTGGGAATTTGTCTAGTTTCCCTGTGCATGTAGGGAAGTGGTGAGGGGAAGTTCTGCGTTCTGGATCACCGACATGTGTGCATCTCGACCATCTTGCGGCACTGTTTGCACTTGACGAAACCCCTGCTGTTCTGTATTTTAGTCTCAACACATTCTTGTTTTGTGTGACCATTATTTAACTACATTTTTAGAATGCTTTTCTATTACTGTAGTTGAATCTGTTTCATATCCTGTTCATAATCCGCACTAATGAACAACAGGAATTGTGACTGATCACTTTACGTATCATGACTCTTTCTGTCTAATTTGCCATTTCTTGGCCAGGATAAGCACTATTCACCGTCAGTCATAATCATTTAATCAAAATGATTCATTGTGGTTCAATAATTACTATTCAAACAAAGCACACATACCTTCTGGACTGACACCGTGCACATTGCGGTCGCAGCCACACTTGTCCAGCTCCCCGCTGCTGCAGGCTCTGGTCACTGCAAAGGCTACGCTAGCAGCAGATAAAGCGTACACAAATGCAGCTTCCCGTGTACCTGTGGCACAAATAGTAAGTATCTGCAGGGTTTTAAGCAGGGCTGGCTTCATGTCCAATTAAATATGAGGCTACTTACCTTGTGTGACCACTTTGCCAAACACAGGAACACTCTCTAGCGTCGAGCAGTTCCAGCGTCGGTTGCGGAACTGAAACTGGCACTCGTCGATGGCGAGCTGAGCGCCCCTGCGGACCGCATCCATCACCTCCACATTACGCTTGCAGATCTGAACCTGCCTCTGGATGAGTCCTCTGAGCTTCTCACAGGTTTCTTCATCCGAGATGCTCCCCACTGATGACAGCTTTGCCAGGTATCTGAGGACAAAGCAGTAGAGACGTAATCAATAAATGTTCAGAGACTGTCAATAATACAGGCATTTGTAAAGAAAAAAACTTTGTATCTAGATGCTGGATGTTTTGCAGATGGAAGAAAAACGCAAATATGTTGTTGAATATTAGCATGTAGAGTATTATAATTTTTTTGTTGTTGTTTATTTATTTTACATATTATTTCAGGTAATTTTTCAATACTTTTCACTCTATTACTTTGGTTTGGTTTAGTTTTAGTTTTCAGTATATTTAGATCACAATACTTTATCATAAATTATAAAGATACATTTATAAAATATTTAGTTAAATGAAGAAACCCATTTAAAAGAACAAGCTATCAGTTAACAATAATATAATATTAAATATATAATTAATAATAATATATTATATATTTATTTTATTATATATATATTCTAAATATAGTACTGTTATATATTATCCTATTATTTATTTTACATTATATATTTAATTTATTCTAATATGTATTCTGTAAAAAAATTTTTTATTATTAGTTCATGATAACTATTGCATTAAGTAATTTTAACAAATTTAACCTTAATGTAAAGAGTTATTATTTTTAGTATTTTTGGCTAAAGTTAAATTAAAATTGAATTATGGTAATTTTATTGTGTTTTGTATTTTAGTGGTGTAAATTTTTTTCCAAATTATGCTTGTTTTTTTTGTTTTGTTTTTTTAGTTAAATGGTTTAATTTAAGGGCCTTTCGCACCGCTTTAGTTCCAGAACTAAATGTACAGTACTAAAGTACTGGGACGATTTTGCGCGAACTATTTCCCAGTACCATTTAAAGGGTTGCATTCGCACCGAGAGTGTGTACTAAGAAGTGACTAATTTGGTTCTCGAAAAAGGCAGTCCGGTACTAAAATCGCACCCAGTGCCGGCGGTGCGAAAACGCCAAAAAGTGGGTAGTTCCACAATTAGTTCTGGTACTATGAAAAGGTTCCCGCGGTGCGAAAGGCCCTTTAGTTGTTGTTGTTATAGTGTCCGTTAACAATAACACTGACCCATGCATTGTTCCGCTAATTTAATGACCCACATAGGTTTTTCATTGACTCCATAGCACAAACAGTACAATAAAACAGCGCAAACATAAACAGCGTGGTCCTCCTGTGACGTTCATGGAAAGCTGTGTTGGGCAGATGAGGTAAGGGTGATGTTGAGAGACGGATAGAGACTATCTTCACCCATCACCTCCAGGGCCAGGGGGTCGGGGCAACACCAACGCTTTAAAGGGTCTGCTGAGCTCCATCTCTTTATGGCACCTTATAAAAATAGTCCTATACTACATCACATCGCACAGGTTTTCATCCGTATACACCAAGCTTGGTCTCATTATAATCAAGAACTGGTGGAGATCAAAGTCTTGAGTGTTTAAAGTCTGCGCAGATGCATTTAGAGAGTTGCGTGCGCTCACGGATGGGTTTGTTTTGCATTATTTGTTTCTTTTATTTGGTGTGGTGCTGGGTAATTCGAAAGTGCGCCTGTTGTTGATGGAAGTCTTATAAATGACAATGAAGGTGCTGTGGTGTAAATACTCAATTTAGGTGCAAGATCTTGAGGTTTATTGATTTGGATTGTAGCTCAAGGCTAAACCTCAAAATCACCACGGATCGGATCTGACTCACAAAATGCTCATCATGTAATCGCATGTATTTACACTCTTGAAAGTAGTTTTTAAAAGGGTTTTTTGCTGCGATGCAACCATTTTTGGTTCCCCACAGAACCTTTCATGGAATGCTTCTCAAAAGAACCGTTTTTTTCCTACTGTGAGGAACATTTTATAAATCTAAAGAAGGTGCTTCTTTGAACCATTGATGCCAACACTGTAAAAACAAACAGTAAAATTAACTAAATTAGTTCATTTCACTCAAATATTAAAAAAGCTCATTGTACTTTGAAAAAAGTTAATGAACTCAATAATTGATTATATTAATCTGAAATTAAAATGAAAGAGTAGCAGCAGATTTCTAGGTACCGGCATGCCAAACAGTCAAACTGTAGGAGAATAAATGTTGAAATGAAGTATTATTTTTGTGTTTTTGCACAGGATCATTAGAGTGAGAGATATGTAAGTGTTTAATGTTCTGTTAAATTGGGATTTTTAGGGGTTTCTGTTAGTGATGACCTGCAAAAGAGCTATTTTTACCTGATTTAACCCTTAAAATTTAGTTTTGTTGATACAGATTAATGTATTTAGGTTGATTTAGCGATAATAATAGTTCTGATTCTGATTAACCAGTTGACTTAGATGTTGCCATTTTTTTTTCAGTGTAATTAGCAGTTAACCACAAAAGATTTGAGCTAATCTAATATTAATGCAGTCACCTGTATGACGGAGTCAGTATTTCAATTCATGCTTATTAAATTGCAATTAACATACAAAAAAAAAAAGTAGCTTTATTTTTAAGAGTGTAGTGTCTTGAGGTCGGTTTGGTTTCAAGGGCTCATCTTAACACGTTAAAAACAGCACGTCTGCATCCCTGCAGCTGGCAGTGGCGCATCCCACCCCTCTCTGCTGTTGACAAGAGCTGATTTTGAAGGCCACGGTTGGGGCAGATAAGAAACAAACACCTCCTTGTCCATGGGACCATCATCTCTGCTCTCTTGAGCTTTGATAACATGTTCCTGTCCGGCCAAAAGATGAAGCATGACATCAGCGGCCAGATGCACATGCATTCTGCTCGGAGGGTGTTTGAGTTTCTTTTTTATAGCATCTGTTGACGATTGCATGTTCTTGCATGCGTGTTTACAGCTTTTGTTTGTTTCACTAGTAAATTAGCTCTGTGATCCTGACCTGATAATGAATCTGGCAGCCAAATGGCAGCGGAGGCCCGTCCGTTCTGGCGGGATTAGCGCTGGAATATAATATATCAGTGCCAGATGCCATATCAAGCTCGGGATTTTGACAAACAAACACCTGAAGAACGGCCCGCTGCATATTTGTCTGGGAAAAAGATTGTCTGAGACCTTGAGAGAATCTTGTTTTCATTGCTTCCCAGTTCTAGCTCTCTAGCCTTCTCTTCTACGTACTCGCTAATCGCAGCGCTAAGTTTGCGAAAACAAAGGGAGCCGACTGTGGGATTTTGTAAAAGAATGGGAGATGCCTTCCTCTGCGCTTGGGAGGTTTTTGCGGGAGCATTCCACCTGGAGCACGGTGCCTTCTTCCTTGTGTCATGTTTGTGTTGAATTACATCGCCCTGGCCTTCGAGCGCTGTTGGCTCCAGATGGCTTAGCCAAGCGTGACTTAGCACGCAACCATGCTGTACGAGAGAGTTTGGAAGAGAACGAGAGAGAAAAAGCATCACACGTACACACGCCTGACTGTATATATCCGCTTGCCTCTTACTACTGTCAACTTATAAACATACGTAAAGTTATATAACACGCTACCGTTCAAGTCCCTTCTGCTCACCAAGGCTGCATTTATTTGATCAAACATAAAGTGAAAGCAGTAATATTGTGAAATATTATTATAGTTTAAATAGCTATTTTCTATTTGATTATATTTTAAAATGTAATGTATTCCTGTAATGCAAAGCTGAATTTTCAGCATCATTACTCCAGTCTTCAGTGTCACATGATCCTTCAGAAATCATTCTAATATGCGAATTTGCTGCTCAAGAAACATTTCTTAAGAACAGCATTTATTTGAAATAGAAATATTTTGTGATATTATTAATGTTTTTACTTTCACTTTTGGATGCAACAGTACAGATAGCCCACGGTTCAACACATAGCTCAGTTTTTTAACCACGGTTTTTGGTTTGGTTCAGTTCTGACGGCTTGGCACATCAGAGGGTTTTTTTTGCGATTTAAAATGTTATATAAAACAACCCCACTACACTTTAATTAAAACTCCAGTACACTTCTGTACACTATAGAAAAACATGGATTACTTATAAAATTATTTTGAGAGAAGGATTATTTTTATGGATTGGCTATTATTGAGTGCTATAAATGCATGTAATGTCTGTTTCATTCATACTGGTAGCTGAAGGCACCCTCATGCAGAAACTTCACATATGCATCACAGAAGTAATAGAACTGATGACGCTCTAGGAAATCCCTAATATGGACAAAGGCGTCCAGCTAGAAACGTTTTGAATGATGAAACATGAAGACAATAAACACTCGATTGCGACAAGTTTATCAGTGTTTTTCAAGCCATCTCGGGTATTTTCATAATAATTATGTATATTTATAATATAAATTATAATATATATTATATATATATATATATATATATATATATTATCAACTTAATCGCTTCAATTGTTCTCAGCAACTTTTTGTGATTTTTTTTTTTTTAGTAATCAAACCATGGATATTGACATTTCCTGTCTCTCCGTGGTAAATCGGTAAAAGTAAATATCAGACCTATGCAAGCTACCGACAGCAAGTAAACATGCATGCTGTGGTGTTCAAGGGCCACAATTTCAAGAGGTTTACCAAAATATTTGATATTTACATATTTGTCAGCTGTGCGTCACAGGGCGCTCATGTCTGTGTATTAAAGGGGTCATATGATGTTACTAAAAATAACATTATTTGGTGTAATGAAATGTTTATGCGGTTTAAGGTTCAAAAAACGCGTTATTTTCCACATACTGTACATTATTTTTTCTCCTCTATCATAAAATGTGCTGCACACATCTGAATATTTGGGTTGAACTGTTCTGGAACAGTGTTGTAAATACAACTTAACCACTGATTTCTAGTCGTGTCCTCTTTTGGAAGACCAAACAAAGTAGTTTCACTTTCACAATGAAACACACAGCGTCACACACGGCAGCCTTGAGTGAGAGGAGGCCGGAGGCCTAGAGTGATGCGGAGGCCGGCTTGAGTGAGGAATGGCCGGGGGCTTGAGAACGGCGGGCTTGAGGCAACCACATGTGACGACCCGGGCTGGACTTTTTCCACATACTGTACATTATTTTTTCTCCTCTATGCCCAGCCTTTCTGAAAC